TCACATTGCTGTAGTTTTTCTGTTTGCCTTACATTGTTATGTAACTCTATGACTAGCAAGCGAAGATTTTTCGAGCAGGAGGCAGAAGATTGGTGGAAAAAAATCAGGAAAGGGTGTTCAAAAAATACAATTCTTCCATTCCTACTAGCTCAAATGATTCATCTTCTAGTACACCAAAGGAAGAAACAACTTCATCTTAATATATAGTAGATGCATTATGGAAAGTGCTAATGGAAACGTTGCACTTGCCTTGGGAACGATGCAAGAAGGCACATTGTCTTGAAGGTTAAAATCATGGTACTTTTTTTATAAGATCTATATTTTTGTTTAGACAGACAATATAGATGATGATAATGTTCGAAAGTGAGAGCATTCATAGTTCTCTCATTTTTTTTCTTCAGCGTGTATAAAGTCCTGGGTTCTATATTCTTTTGTATGGTAGATAGCTATATTAAAGGAGAAATTTTTATGTTGGAGATTGCGAGCACATACTGCCTACACGCATGGCTCATTGTCTAATAATTGGACAAATCTTCTCATAACCTTAGAATTGCAACTCATGTGCTCCATCTAGTTGTTGGCCCCTCTTGGTGTATTCAATGACCATTACTTAGGGCTTGCTCGATTCTCCTGTTTATTATGATATGACAGAGTTTATAATTACAACATTCAACCAATTTAAACTGCAAGGGTAGAAGTTATTTAGGCTTCGTTTGGGATGGCTTTCTTACCACTTAAAACAGCTTTTTAGTACTAGTAAGCTATTTTAAGAAGCAATAAAAAAGCCGTCCCAAACGAAGCCTTAGCCATCCAAGAGGACCCTTTGCCAATTGATTTAGGTGGATTAAAATTAAAATAAAATCATAAAATGGGGACAATTGTTTAGTTGAGTCAAGGGATGGTCGACTTCCTTTATCTAAGCTTGAATGGATGGGCGGTAGTTATCTTTTATGCTTTACATGCTTCCATTAAAAAAAAAAATTCTTAGCTCTGTCACTTCATGCATGGATTGCACTAACTGCTTTCTTTGTTGATAACCTTAATCGGAGAGTGCTATTTAAGCGTTATTTAAGTAATTATAAAAATTTAAGTTTTTATACATAAATATTTAAGAATTTTGTGATATATATATTGTTATCTTGACTCAATACAAGAGTAACAAAATGGAAGTAATCTTAATAAAAATTTTAATTAAAATGATAATTATAATTCCTTACTATTTTTAAAAATAAGGCTCGTAGATTTTATACTATGTATGATTTTTGGAGAAATTATTTTTATTTTAATAAAATAAATTCTACAAAAGAGATGAAAGGCCCATTTACCTTATACCGTGGCCTGGCCCACAGAAGATACGTTCAATACAAAGGCCGGAAGTTCCTGGCCCAATAGAAATACATTCATCGCTTGTTTTGATTCTTGTATTTATTATATTTATTTTAGAGGACATTTGGACGTGAATTCCATCAGTATTTGGGCTCCATTTTGGGCCGACATGTCACCCCATCTAAGTTCACATTGTCACAGCGATAAATCACGATGTGGAATAGCTCGCTGTCGATCGATGTGAGCCGTCTGATCTCGATGTCTTTTGAATTTGTGAATTCCAGCGACTGATTTAGCCAAATGTGATGTCTTTAGAAAGAACTTTTATTTGGACAAAATCCCGCCTATACCGAGGTGTACCGAGTTTTTTGGAAAAACTCGGTACACGCGGGATTTTGCCTACGACCGAATGTTCCTCTTCATCCTGTCGGAGGACATAATAATTGTTCCTTTAGAAAGGTAGAATTGCAATAGTTTTATTAAATGAAATGATTTATAAGAACAATAAACGATAATATATAATAAAAAATAATATTATTAAAAATATATTACAATAATAAATATTTTAAATTATTAAATCACTACTATAAATATTAAGTTAAAAAGAATATTAATTTAATACTATTTTTAGCCATAATAATACTAATAGTTATAATGCATACAACTCTAACACCATAATTATTTTTAATCATAATAATTTGAAAAGAAAAAGAATAAACTAGTATTCGACTCAATTTATTTATATCCTCGACTAATTACTTATTTATTTATTAGCATAAATAAACAACATAGAAGTCAAGAAGTTTGTTGATAAATTTCCTATCATCAATATCTATAATTTAACAATTGTATGTCAATTCTTACATATTGTGCATAAAAAATACATAACTCAAATAAAAGTATACATTTGCACCGTGAGGGCATTTCTTGTCACCTAGCTTACAATCCCATAATTTCGACCCTCTTCCATCAAATACTCCTTCATTGATCGAAATCCCCTCAGCAGTATCATATGTGATCCATTCGCTTGATTAAGTATAACTCGGAGTAGCCATTAGGGTTACATTAATCATAAAATTAATCTTCTTGTTCACACAAGGACCATTGAATTTCACTTCGCTTATAAGAAATATTCCATTTGAAATGTAAATATTTGCTGGAGAAGAAGAGCTATCACAAGCCATTTTCCAAGCCCTAATAATGGCTTCCACACAATCCATATTTCCACCTTTTTTAGCTTATATGAGGAAATTGTTGAAGAGAAAGAGAGGAAAGAAAATAGGTGGAGTAATAAGGTTATTTGGGAGGCCATTAATATGATATTATAGACATTGAGGAGCTAAAATTTGAAAGTAGCCCTAACAATGGGTCTTATGTCCTCTATTAGAGGTGGCCCGAGTAGCGGGTCTTACAACTTAGCCTTGTAGATTAAGATGCCCATGGGTTTTGGTTGGATAGGTCTTATGGCTTCTTTAGAAGTTGCATAATGACAAGTCTTACGACCTAGCCTTGTAAGCTAAGTAGCCCGTGCATTGGGTATTACAATATAGCCCTATAGACTTGATACACATGTGAGTGGTCTAAGGTTAATAAGTTATGTTATTACCTAAACATTTTCTCTTAAGTCAGACTTACGATTTCTATTAGAAGTTGTCTATTTATGAATCTTACAACCTAGTTCTTATAAACAAGATTTTCCAAGTGGTTTGAGTTTTGGATATAAGGTAGTTCATTTAGAAGTTTTCTAACATACGAGTCTTATTGCTTTGCTTAAAAGTAGCCTTAGATGAGTTTATAGTTATTTGTTAGTTTGACATTATACTGTAATTTTGACACCTACTTGCTAGCAATTTATTTTCTACTCTAGCTTTCAGTACTGTGCTTGTTTGTTTTTTGCTCATAGTTTTTCCTACTACAATAGTTTATTTCTCTACTATTATATTGTTGCTTTACCAATTTTTCAATATTTTGTTCTACATGCAGTAACTAATTTTACTCTTTTTTTAGTATTAATTTTATTTATGATGTGCTATTTTTGTCTGCTTGTTTGCAGGTATGTGGTACTTGCAGCAGCTGAAGGAGCTCTCAGGTAGATGTAGTTTAAGCTACCACTGAGAGTTTGAGAGAGTTTAAACTTGTTTGTTTGAGATAGTTGTTTGAGAGTTTCTTTTTTGTTCAGAGCTGTGTTGTGAGCATTATTTGTTGAGTTGTTTGAAGAGCACTTTGTTCTGACTCAGAGAGTTATTGTGTTTGAGCTGCTCAGTTGGAGAGTTGTTTGTAGTTCGAGTGTTGTTGTTACTTGTTGGAGAGCCTTATTAGTTTGTACTTAGATTGGATTATTAGAACATTTCATTCATGCATCTTTTTAACTAATTGAATTTTAATTGAAGTTAAAATGTTCAATCAATTTTCAATGTATTTTAAAAACTTATTAAATTATTTAAATTAAAATTGAGTGCTCAATTAAAAATTGTTCAATTAATTTAAGTTTAAATTTTCATTAATTAATTAAAGGTTTCAATTTGAATTAAAGTTGAAATTTTGATTTTATTAAATTTTGCATTATTTACATTTTTCAATTGTTGAATTCAATTAATTTAATTAATGTTTCAATTTCAATTAAGTTTTAAATTACTTTAGATTTTCTGATTTAAGCTTTCTTTTTAGTTTAACTTTAATTTTAATCGTTAGCTAAATTAAATTAAGGTTTAGAATAATCTCTTTTTTTAATTAAATTAATAATGTTAATTAAATTATTCAATTAGTTATTTAACTGTTTAAGTTGGTTAATATCTAAATTATCTTTTTAAATATATTTTAATTTAATTTAATTTATCATATTCATTACTTATTTAAATTTCAAATCAATTAATGGCTTCTATTTAAGTGAGAGAATTATTTAAAGTTTATTTTATTATAAACCTTAAATTATTATCATTTAATTAATTAAATCAATTTAATTAGTCATTTAATCATTTAATTTGTGAGTAATAAATTGCGAGTTTTTTTTTTTTCAAATTTTCCAAATTCCACACTAGTCAAAAGTTTCCTTGGAAATTTTGGTAGCCTCCCGGAATTCCCTCCCTGCGAAGGAGGTAAGAGAGGGCACTCGCCCTTTTAATCCGTTCAATCGAAAAGATAATCAACGGCCGTGCACTTCGGGACATTGTCGATCAGGTCCTGAAATATGTCTTCGTGTCTCCGATTGATGATTGTGAGCTTCTAATTGCGATAAGTTTTTTTTTAGGTATATATGCATATATAGTTTACTTATTTCAAGAAAATATAAGGGTATTGATGTAGTGGATCGGCGGAAGTCGATACCTGCAAGAAGGATTTGAAAATTCCCAATCCAGGGAAGAAGAAGAAGAAAGCTTTTCAAGCTTCAAACAGAAAAATAAAAAATCACCATTAAATGATTAAGAATAATTTAAAAATTATCAATTTATGCCCTATTGTTGATAACACAATTAAATAATTTATATCTATTTTTATATTTACATAAATAATTAAAAAACAAATAAAAAATAACGAAACCTGACAACCACTAATTTATTTAGACAATATTTGCATTAAAAAAAATAAAAAAAAGACAATATTTGCTCAATATTCAATAACAACTTTTAAATCAAACGGAGTAAAGGTAAAACAGCCACACGTATTTACTAAATTTTGATTGATTTTGAGGGGAATTAGCCGTGTATTACGGGACGTGCGAAATAGAAATCCGCTCAATAGGTGATAAATTCTCTCGAAGAAAATTTTCGCATCGTCGTTGCGGTTCGGCTTCATTGCTTCGCACGAGGTGTAAGATTGCACGAGTGGCTTCTCTCCTTCGACGACGTTCCGTCTGCCTGTCGGATCGGAAGTGGCGACATTTTCATCGGAAGTAATGACGGGAGCTCGCTAGGTTGTGAAGGTAACTTTCTCCCATTCGTTCGCTTCTTCGGCCAAATCCCGTCAATCCTTCGAACTACAGGATTTGGTAAAAAAATCTATATTTATTCCGCGATGAGATTATGTTAGATCGTTTAAATACTGCTCAAACCCTTGTACTATTTCTCTTTCTTTAAGAAAACAATTCTTTTTGAAAAGCTTATTCACGAGGTGCAGAGCTCACAGGTGTGGCAGTTTTTTAGAGTGGTGCTTGGTATTGCATTATTATCGATAATTAGTAATTCTATATTTTGATTACTACTGCAATCAATTTTTTTTTTTTTTTTTGGCGTTAATGAAAGAGTACGTGAGAACCACTATATAAGTTTAATTTTTGATATGTTGCTTAGATTGATATGATTTTACTTCTGGTTGGTAATATTTAGTAATGTGTGGCATAGTAAATATAAGGATTGGAAGATCCCTTATTGTGTCTTTTTAACATTTGATGGAGATCTTGAATTGAAGAACAGTGCCCTTCTTGTGTCTTTTTTAACAATTTATAGAGATTTTTTTAACTGCATTAGGCTTAATAGGCATGTAGCTTGCAGTAATCCTTTTTCTGCAGGATAAATCAGTATGTCCAGGCTTTTAATTTCTAGAGCCTTTAAGGTTGATTATGTTACTGGGAATGACTTTCTCAAGTACTATAGCATGTATGGTACCCTTGTAGAGATGGAAGCTGCATATGAACAGTTGAAGAAATCAATAATTCTTATAGAGAAAGAAGCAATCAGAGCAAGGAAGTTCTCTGACCTTGGTGAATTTTTAAAGGACGTTGGACTTGCTAGGAGGAACTTGTCTTTTGTTTTTTTCTCTTGCATACTTATTTTCATGCAATCTCGTTTGTGTTGTGATTATTGCGATGCAAGAATTGTGATTGATTAAGATTATTTCTTAGTAAAAAAAAAGTTTTGTTTCATTATTCGCTTTCGCATTAAGAAAATCATATTGTGATTTCAAGTTTTGAATTTGATTTAATTTTCAAAAAGGATTTTTCTGTGAAAGAAATTTTTTTAAAACACCAATTCACCCCTCTCTTAGCGTGCTATTATAGTTTAAGTTGTTTAACACCCACAAGTTAAACTTTCAACTAACACTTCAAATAAAGTGTCATCTGATGCATTTGGTTCCATATTTCAGGATGGAGATTCAATTCTCAGTTTTCGTTCATATGGTGCTGCTATAAAGGTCTCATCCAACATTGCTCTTCTCAAATCAAAAGCATTTGATGATTTATATATTTGTGAGCTTTCTCTAACTTCAGGAGGTTAGATGTGAGGCCAGATCGTTCAAATATGCATTTACGAACCAGCACTGGAGATGTTAGTAGACACAGTGTTTCCAATACACCAAGTTGCTCTAGTCATACTTCCGGACAAGATGACATTGAATCTTTGGGTGATGTCTACATCTGGGGAGAGGTTTGGAGTGATGGGATCTCACCAGATGGTCACAGTAAATCTCTTTGCTTAAAAGTAGATGCCTTGCTTCCAAAAGCTTTAGAGTCTAATGTCGTTATAGATGTTCATCAAATTGCTAGTGGCTTCAGGCATGCTGCCCTTGTTACTCGGCAGGGAGAAGTATTTACATGGGGTGAAGAATGCGGTGGTAGACTTGGGCATGGAACTGATATTGATATTAGTCGACCTCGTTTAGTTGAATCATTAGCATTATCCAATGTGGATTCTGTTGCATGTGGCGAGTTTCATACTTGTGCTATAACTACAGCAGGTGACTTGTTTACTTGGGGTGATGGAGCTTATAATACTGGACTTCTTGGCCATGGTATTGAGGCCAGCCATTGGATGCCTAAGAGAGTTTCTGGACCTTTGGAAGGATTTCAAGTGTCTTTAGTTGCATGTGGCACATGGCATACTGTACTGGCTACTTCAAATGGAAAAATATATTCATTTGGTGATGGTTCATTTGGTGTTTTGGGCCATGGTGATCGAGAGAGTGTTGCTTATCCCAGGGAAATCGAATCTTTGAGTGGTTTACGAACCATTAGGATTGCATGCGGAGTGTGGCATACGGCCGCAATTGTAGAAGTAATGGGACATGCTGGTACGAATGTTGTATCACGTAAACTCTTTACATGGGGCGATGGCGATGGATACCGTCTAGGCCATGGTGATAAGGAAGCAAGATTGGTTCCAACTTGTGTTGCATCACTTATTGATTACAACTTTCATCAGTTGGCTTGCGGACATAATATTACCATTGCCCTCTCAACTTCTGGGCATGTTTTCACCATGGGACATTCCATGTATGGCGAGCTCGGAAATCCACAATTTGATGGTAAAGTTCCCTGTTTAGTGCAAGATAGATTAGTAGGTGAGTTAGTTGAAGAGATTGCTTGTGGATCCCATCATGTTGTGGTATTAACTTCACGAAGTGAAGTTTATTCATGGGGAAGAGGTGCTAATGGAAGACTAGGACATGGAGATACTGATGACAGAAAGACACCCATTCTTGTTGAAGCTTTGAAAGACAGGCATGTTAAGAGTATCTCTTGTGGCTCTAATTTCACAGCATGTATTTGCATGCATAAGTGGGTATCTAGTGCTGACCAATCGGTCTGCACCGGCTGTCGACAAGCATTTGGATTTACTAGAAAAAGACATAATTGCTATAATTGTGGTCTAGTATATTGTCATGCTTGCAGTTCCAGAAAAGTTTTGAAAGCTGTATTGGCACCAACTCCAGGCAAACCTCATCGGGTATGTGATTCATGCTATTCGAAACTTAAAGCTGCGGAAACTGGTATGCCTTTGGTTGTTGGTAGAAATAATGTGATTTCTCGTCAATCTATTGATACTAGGGAAATGTTTGAGAAGGGAAAAATTAGATATTCAAGGCTTTTACTTGTTCCTAAGGAGTTGGGAAGATATAATGATATTAGATATAGTAAGAATCAACGAACTTCAAACCGAATTTCTCAAGTTTCATCTCGTTCACAGCTAAAAGATATTGCCTTCCCAAGCTCATTGAGCTTACTTCAAACGACTTCAAGGCCAATCATGACACCGACAGCACCTCCACCATTGCCTGCTGCAAATTCTAAGTTTGTAACTCCATACTCATGGAAGCCAAACCCTTCACTATCTACAACTCCTGATTTTTCTGGAAACTTAATGGAGACTATAAAGAGGACTAATGAGCACTGGGATAGAGAAGTCCTAAAGCTGCAAGGGGAGGTAAGAAACTAAGCTTTCTTATTATCTTTCATCTGTCTAAAGTTTTTTCTTTTCATAATCTATCTTGATTGCTACATTGATCTTTTGCAGATCAAAAGTCTTAAACAAAAACTAGAAATACAAGATGCAGTTGCACATAATGTTTCAAATGAAGCTAAAGAAGTTTTTGTAGCTGCACAAGAATCTGCTAAGTTTAATGCTGCCATTGAGCTTATCAGGACAATTGAAGCCCAGGTATCCTCAATTTTCTTGAGATTTTATAACTCTGATTCAGTAACAAATTGCAATTAACTAGCATGATTTCACTTAAAAATTGCTTCTTTTTAATGCACTTTCATATTGCCAATTTATGTTCATCATGCCTTGTTATTTTTTTTTTTTCATTTTGGTGGCACATTTGAACCATATCTACTAATATCCCTTTTAAATATATTGTTCTTCTGTGATTTTGAACGTGCACCTATTGTTCTATTAGTCATCTATGAAATTGAGCATGGTTTTTTTTTATTTTAACTTTAAAAAAATGGTAATATTATTTCTGTTATATTTTTTGGTTTCAAGTCTAGATTATTATCCTCATAATTGATCTTAGAGGAATGTTACTCGTTATCTTCTGCTAATGACTGCTATCTTTATTGTTTTGTGTTAAAAGACAATAATATATTTGAGATAATTTTTTAGCTCATAGGGCATGAAGTTATTCATAAGTGTTATGAATTATTATATATATTTTTCATTTTCTGATTCAAATATGCCTTGTCTAGGATTGACATCCAAAACCTTCTTAGTGAATTGGAGGAAGTCTTTAAGTGTTCTTATGTATAAGAGTGTATTACTTGCTTGCACTATAAGGTTCAATAAGGCTGAGGGATTTATCTGCACAACTTAAAAACAGCTCAAATCAGTGGTAACTTGGTTGTTGGATAAATAAATTAGAACTAATAAACTAAAAAACTCCACACATGGCAACTTAGGTGTTGGATAAACAATCAAGCTATCTGTTAAGCACAATGTTAATGATAAACTCAATAATACAAGTTATTTCAATTAATTCACTAGCATTAATGTAAGCTAGTGTCCAAATCCAAATATATATTATGGTGAACTAAACTGATTATGTCAATAATGAGAGAAGTTGCATGTTTAAGAAATGAGAAGTTAAAATATTCATCATAATTTCAATTAGTATTATAATTAGTAATTACATCATTAGCTAGCTTATTTGATAATTAGGGCTTCGTTTGGGATGGCTTTGTTATTGCTTCTTAAAGCAGCTTTCTAGCATAAAAAATTTATTTTTTGTACTAAAAAGTTGCTTTAAGCAGTACGAAAGTAGTCCCAAACAAAGCCTAGGTTAACTTCTAATTATGTTATTTATAATTGTAACTTACTGATAGTAATTAAAATTGGAATAAATAAATAACTCGTATTTAAAATGTAAATTAAATTTAAAACACAAATTAAAATTGAGCGTTTAATGAATAAAACAAATTTAATCATGAGTTATGTTTCCTAACAGTTTCACAAGATTTATTAGGATTTAATATTTTTTTGTCATATAGTTTTCAAAATTTAGTAAATTTAGATTTACAATATTTATTAAATTCTATTTGAGTTAAATCATATGTTGCCAAAGAGCCCCTAACTTTTAAATGTGTGTTCTCAGAGATGTAATTGCCTAAAGCAAATTCAAATTTTTAGTTGTTATTAGCGCTTCTAAGTATTACAAGCAAAATGTTATCAGATGTGTTTAGCAAAGAAATTTCTAAGTAAAATTCAGTTCTATTTGTAGACTTCTGTTAGGCCGGTTCAACCTGAATCGACTCAGCCGACCCAAAGGTCAGCTCAGGTCTACAGGAGGCGGACAAGTGTCGCCTCCCTTTCTTCTTGCCGCCCATAATAGTAGGCCCCACTAGTCCAATTGAATTCAAAATTGAAAAGGAGGGGGCGGCTAGGGCTTGGGAGGGAAATTAGATTAAGAAAGTTTATGTATTAACGAGCATGAGATGTTTTAGAGTGGAGGTTATGCTCGATTGGATTTCGGTTAGGGTTCATTGTTGATTTGGGCTCTAGATTATCTCGTCTAGAGATTTGGGAGAGACGATCTTCCTCTCTAATTGAGGATCACTTGTATCTTGTTTCCGTGCTTGTTTGGCTTTGATTTTTGTATTGCAATCTACCGTTTGTGCTGATTTCTTCCAGATTTTGTGCTATACTCGTTGTTTTTCACTAATTGGTGATAGATTTGCTTACAAACTCAAGTATTACCCTTATGATTACTTGCAAACTCAAGAATTTACTATGAACTTCATTCAAAATTTTTCATTTTTACTTGCTATTTTGCATATGAAAATTCAGGTAATCTAAAGCTCTGTTTTGCTTATCCTCTTTTTTCTTTATCTATAGATGAAGGATGTAGCTCAGAAAGTCCCTAATGACCTAGGTGACAACATAAAATCAATGATTATTTCAGCAGAATTGTTTCTAGAAAATAACAAAACCCGAGCTTCAGAGCTGCCTTCAAGTGCCACACCAAGCATAGAGTCTCCTAATACTCAAGTACATCAGAAAAATGGCTTTGAAAACTCTACCGATGACAATGCTCAAAATAATATTAAATCGGTCATTAATGATATCAGAGTTACTGCAGATCACCAAAGCATGGAGAGTAGCTCAAGGTCACCTCGAGCTTCTAAAAGAATAATTAACAACAAGGGAGAAGTAGAATTGATGGAGCAATTTGAGCCTGGTATATATGCGACTCTTTTGCAGTTACTAGATGGCACTAAGCTCTTCAAAAGAGTCAAATTCAGGTATCTACTTTCTCTATGTTATATGAACTCATATTAAACATAAATGAAACTCTCCCCACGAACCTTCCCTTTATGTTCTCCCAGTTTAACTCAAATATATTATGTTTTTTATCATAGCTGAGAATATTTCTATTGCAAGTAACTTCATTTTATTTTAGGCTATGTTTGGGACGGCTTTCTTACTACTTCTAAAAGCAGCTTTTTAGTGAAAAACTAAATTTTTTGCACTAAAAACTGCTTTTAGAAGCAGTAAAAAAGCCGCCCCAAACGAAGCCTTACATTGCTGTAGTTTTTCTGTTTGGCTTACATTGTTATGTAACTCTATGACTAGCAAGCGAAGATTTTCCGAGCAGGAGGCAGAAGATTGGTGGAAAAAAAATCAGGAAAGAGTGTTCAGAAAATACAATTATTCTATTCCTATTAGCTCGAATGATTCTTCTAGTACACCTTAATATATAGTAGATGCATTCTGGAAAGTGCTTATGAAAACGTTGCACTCGCCTTGGGAACGATGCAAGAAGGCACATTGTTTTGAAGGTGAAAATCATGATAAATTTTTATTTTTTTTGATAAGATCTATATTTTTGTTTAGGTAGAGCATTTAGATGACGATAATGTTCGAAAGTGAGAGCATTCATAGTTCTCTCACTCTTTTTCTTCAACATGTATAAAGTCCTGAGTTTTGTATTCTTTTGTATGATAGATAGTTATCTTAAAGGTAAAAGTTTTATGCTGAAAATTGTGAGCATATATTGTCTGCACGCACGAGCTCATTGTTCTAATAATTGGATAAATCTACCTTAGAATTACAACTCATGTGCTTCATCTAGCTATTGGCTGCTCTTGGTGTATTTTCCTTTTCTTAAATTAATTTTGTTGTATTTCAATAAAATTTTAAAATATCTTATATATATACTTTTCTATATTTATAGACAATCAAATAGGCAAGCTTGTCCGATGGTTTAATCTAGAATAAATTGATAAATTTAAAAATTTTCTCAACTCTCTCGAAAATCATTCATATCATACTCGCTAGCTTAAAATGATATGACTTTTAATTATTGTAATTTTAATGTCTTAAATAACTCGTTTATATATGAATCATAGATTCAAGAGTCACTAGCCACATGATCGATATTACCAATTTTTTCAAATCTAAAAATTTTGCCCTAACAGTAAAAATATAAAAGTGGCTAACGGTTCACTAATAATTATAGTAGGTCAAGAAAATATTTTAAATCTATCCATATTTTACTCTCAGTAATATAATTGAATATTAAATATCAATTATTCTAGACATTATGCTTTTTATTTTAGTATTATTATTTACATAGCATTATAAACACATTTGAATTAAAATTAATGCCAAATGCAATACTGTGTCGTAGAGATTGAAATTAACACAAAAAGTTATCTTCTATGAGTTTGAGAATTTTACACTATATAAAAGATCTAAAGCAGCATTTAAAAGAGAAATTTGATCAAAAGCTTTTCCATCAAATCGATATAAAAGTAGTCCAAAGCTACATAATCACAATACTTACAAAATCCCAACCTCGAGATGTATAAGAGAAATACTTTATATCCAAAATAATGGTTGCAGAAGACAAGCTTTAAAATTATGCAATTGGGTATTCAGGTGCAAGCCTCAAGGTATTTTGAGACATAAGTATCAAAATTAAGCCCCAAGCTATTATTAAGTCTCGTAAGGAAATCAAATATTTTTTTTTTCTACGAACTGCTAGAGAATTACCATATCGTTCGAGCATGCCATTTTAAAATTTTATTAATAATCAAATTCACTTTTCTTTCAGATAAATTTGCACAATTTGAGACTATTTCACATAATTTCTCTCATTCAAGCAATATGAGGCTTATAGCCCCTCAAATTTTTATTTATTCTGATTTTGACAATTCATAATGATTGACTTATTTGAAGCAAAATCAAATAAATTAGGCATAATAAATAGAAGAAATAATATAGACAAGAAAAAAGTAGAAAAAAAAAAACTGGAATAATAAAACTCTGATCTTTCTTTAATGTCATGTAGAAATATAAATACATAAATATATAAGCTATTTTAAATTTTTATTGCTTCTTTTGTACAAAGTATGGAAGAATATATAGACATCTCCAAGAGTTTTATAATAGAAATACATCAAAGTTAATTTTTTAAAAAAGGAGAAAATACACCAAGAGGGGCCAACAGCTAGATGGAGCACGTGAGTTGCAATTCCAGGATTCTGAGAAGATTTATCCAATTATTAGAATAATGAGCCTGTGCGTGCAGACAGTATGTGCTCGCAATCTCCAACATAAAAATTTCACCTTTAAGATAGCTATCTACCATACCAAAGAATACAGAACTCGGGACTTTATACATACTGAAAAAAAAGAATGAGAGAACTATGAATGCTCTCACTTTCGAACATTATCTTCATCTAAATGCTCTATCTAAACAAAAATATAGATCTTATAAAAAAAATAAAAATTTACCATGATTTTCACCTTAAAGACAATGTGCCTTCTTGCATCGTTCCCAGACGAGTGCAATGTTTCCATAAGCACTTTCCAGAACGCATCTACTATATATTAAAATGAAGCTGCTTCTTCCTTTGGTGTACTAGAAGATGAATCATTCAAGCTAGTAGGAATAGAAGAATTATATTTTTTGAACACTCTTTCATGATTTTTTTTCCACCAATCTTCTGCCTCCTACTCGAAAAATTTTCGCTTGCTTGTTATAGAGTTACAGAACAATGTAAGCCAAATAGAAAAACTACAGAAATGTAAGGCTTCATTTTGGACGCTTTCTTACTGCTTCTAAAAACAGTTTTTTAATACAAAAATTTTAGTTTTTCATTAAAAAGATGCTTTTAGAAGCAGCAAGAAAGCCGTCCCAAACATAGCCTTAGATGAAATGAAGTTACTTGCAATAGAAATATTCTTAGCTATGATAAAAAATATAATATGTTGGAGCTAAACTGGGAGAATATAAAGGGAGGGGATCGTGGGGAGAGTTTCATTTATGTTAATTACGAGTTCATATAACATAGAGAAAGTACATACCTGAATTTGACTCTTTTGAAGAGCTTAATGCCATTCAGTAGTTGCAAAAGAGTCCCATATATACCATGCTCAAATTGCTCCATCAATTCTACGTCTCCCTTACTGTTAATTATTATTTTAGAGGCCCGATATGACCTTGAGCTACTCTCTATGCTTTGGCGATCTACAGTCACTCTGATATCATTAATGGCCGATTGAATATTATTTTGAGCATTGCCATCAGTAGAGTTTTCAAAGTCATTTTTCTGATGTACTTGAGTATTAAGGGACTCTATGCTTGGTGTGACACTTGAAGACAGCTCTGAAGCTCGGGTTTTGTTATTTTCTAGAAACAATTATGCTGGAATAATCATTGATTTTAGGTTGTTACCTAGGTCATCAGGGACTTTCTGAGCTACAACCTTCGTCTATAAATAAAGGAAAAAGAGGATTAGCAAAATAGAGCCTTAGATCACCTGAATTTTCATATGTAAAATAGTAAGCAAAAATGAAAAAAATTTGAATGAAGTTCATAATAAATACTTGAGTATGCAAGTAATTCTAAGGGTAATACTTAAGTTCGCAAGCAAATCTATCACCAATTGGTGAAAAACAACGAGTATATCACAAAATTTGGAAGAAATCAACATAAATGATAGATTGCAATACGAAAATCAAAGTAAAAAAAAGAACGAAAACAAGATACAAGTGATCCTCAATTAGAGATGAAGATAATCTCAACCAAATCTCTAGACAAGATAGTTTAGAGCCCAAATTAGCAAGGAACCCTAACCCAAATCCAATCGAGCATAACCTCCACCCTAAAACATCTCATGCTCTTTAATACATAAACTTTCCTAATCTAATTTCCCTTCCAAGCCCTAGCCGCCCCCTCATTTTCAATTTTGAATTCAATTAGACTACTGGGGCCCATTATTGTGGGCGGCAAGAAGAAAGGGAGGCAGCACTTGTCCGCCTTCTATCAGTAAGTTATTAGGTTTCAATTGGATAATATCTTTGTAATTCTATTTCTATAATAATTTAGAGTCAAAGATGGATGAAAAAAAGCTTCTTTTAGCCTCCTCTTTGGGAACCCTTTCTTTCTTTTTGAGTTTCATTGCTTTTTATCCTCTATACCTTATGGCTCACTCATTTGAGTCGGTTATCTATCTAAATTTCTAACCATTTCTTTCTATATCTCTCTTGCTCTCCTCCTCTATTGGATTGGTGCTAACTTGCTCTTTATCAATGTCACGTTCATCCATTCTACTCTTGGGTTTAAGCTTTCTTTTCTTTGTGAAATGATGAAACTATTTGTGGAATGGAATAAAACACATATGCTAGATATCCAAAAATAAACAGAATGGTAAGAATAAATTACTTTGCTGAAAGTTAAAATTAAACGCATATAAAAATCAAATTTAATTTTTATGGACTCAGTTCATGCAAGAGTCAGTATACTTATGAATCATATTAATTTAGTTCATATCTTGTTGTTTGTAGCAAGTAGGATTTAATCTTATGACATTTCTCTCAAGATGAAGTATATTATTCACTCAAACTCATTAAAGAAGGGTAAGCTTGTAAGTTATGCATATATAGGGTCAATGGTTCCTAAACATGACATGTGATTCACTAATCAACATATTTATATTCTTGATTTTCGAAGTGAGGATTATACTAGAAGTATTGATCAAATTTTCCCAATTACTTAATTGATGCAACCTTTTATCTCCAAAACAATGCAACACTGTCGTGGGGAAGTATCATTGAGGTTTCGTTTGGGATGGCTTTTTTACTACTTCTTAAAGCAGCTTTCTAATACAAAATTTTTAATTTTTATACTGAAAGCTGTTTTAAGTAGTAAAAAAGGCGTCCCAATCAAAACCTGAGTTGGCTATGAATGGCAAATTGTTGCTTTTTGAGCTTAGGTTTCCACCCAAAGAGAAGATGAAGGGTGCTTTGATTTAACCAATGAAGTTTCATTGGGAAATCTGAAGTGTGTACGTGACAATGCTCATAATAAGGGTTCTTCGTTTCACCTTTGTTGCGTCCTGGAGTATTCGCAGTAGTAGAGAAATGTATAGTTTAACGTCTTAGCATTGTACGAAGATCCAGCACACAATCAGATAAGTGAGAGGGTGTAGCATTCATAAGATGGTGGAAACAATGCTTCATCTTCCACATGTGTGATCTACTTGGATAAGCTGGTGGAAGTTGCTTACATTCCATGTGGTCATATGACTGGATGCATGTCTTGTCTGAAAGAGATCAAAGAGAAGAAAGAGGACTGCCCAATATGTCGTGCCACGATTGATCAGGTCGTGAGGCTTTATGCTGTTTGACTTGATGATTCTGTCTTTGATCAATTACTCTGTGGTCTATTTGTGAGTATTGATGGTTGTAGCATGTGCTGCTCTTTTTATGTACATCAATGTAAAATCTATCACAAAATTGAATAGGCTGCAGTATGAGATCTGCAACGGAGGGATTAATTCCAAAGTGTATTTTGTTCCTCGTTTTTTTCTGTTGTATTTTTTCTTGGTATTGTATGAAATTAATGTTTATTTGGGACTTCTCATAAATGAAAATCATTTTCGTATTTTTATTAGCTACAGTTATATTTGATTGCAACTTTATTTCCATTTTTTTTAATTTTATGGTGTCAGCAATTTCGTGCTATTTGGTTTTTGTTTTTCAAAATAAAAATGTATATAATATCATAATAATTTTATTTATTTTTCACAATAATTTA